CATATATTTTCTGACTTAAAAATCGGAGAATTGTAATCATTTTCAGGAACAAAAGAACCACACCAGTGAAAGTAAAACTGAAAGTTTGCCCCCGACCCCCTGCCCTCATGGAAGAAAGAAAGGCAGAAAGAAAGAAAATCATACCTTTCCATAAGTGGTCTGACAACCTTCTAGTTTGTTAAAATGAATTAAATAGACAAAACAGTCTTGCTACAATGACCAGAGGGAGACAGTCAATGGTGTAGTTGAAGATTATAGTAAAAGATTATCCTGTTGCAGTACATCCTACTTTCAGTGATTAGAAAAGAATTACATTAATACTTTTACTCAACTCCCTTTCTATCGGTTTAACAAAGACTCTTTGATTATATATAACATAGACACATGTTACTAGTAAAGATTCTTGCTGAGAGAATTCAAACATCAGCAAAACAAAGAAATGTTCTTACAAACTAAAACCTTAACCATGCATGGCTATCAAAAATCAGTCTGTTGCCTAGTGCCTCCAGTAATATTTCCTTTTTCTCTTATGGTAAGCAGTTGCAAACAGTCATCCCCACTCCCAAAAAACAAAACAGTAATGCAATAAACAACAATATTGTACTGAACTATACACTATGAGGAAAATAAAACATGCGTGAATACCCACAGTTCATAAGTCAGGCTAAATTGTCAGAAAATAGGCTTATTTATATCAAAATCATGTTAAAAATTCAGCCACAGCATTTTCCATTTAAACTTCAACCAAAAAAATACATTAGAGAGACAGACAAAGCATAAGAATCTTAAAGATTGAAATAAACAGTATATTTAATATCAAGGGAAAACATCACAAAATATTGCTGAAGTGAACAAATATGCTTCAAGCTGCAGAAATCTCTTTTGCATTTTGCTGAAGTTCTCCTGTAGCAATATCTCATCCTTTTTATTACTAGTAAACCCATCTCTCGAAAGCCACTCTAAATTCAGATTTCAAATATATTGTTTTTAAAACCTTCATCCACAGTATTATGTGCTTTGAGAGATTACCTGAAATATTTAAAAAATGAAAGCAACTATAAAATGACAAATGTCAGATTTTCAATTACCCCATTCACAGTACTATAAAAAGTACAAGACATGAAGGAAAAAAAATAAAACCCCAAGCAACTTATTCAGAATATCAAATAGCTTCTGAAAAATCTTCCTTAAGTATATGATACACACCTAATGTTCTGTGTTGTGAACAAGGTGGAAAGAAGACACTTGCACTTAAATCTTGAAGCATCCCGTCCCGATGAACCCAGAGAAACTAATTTCTGCCATCAGAAAAGTACTCCACCAGAACACCAAATAATTATATGTGCTGCTCTAAAGGAAACAGCAAACCCAGTTCTGGCTGTATGCAGTCTCTCGAGGTACAATAATATAAACCTGATCAATTGCAATTAAAATCTGAACAGAGGCTTAGAACTTGAAGTCTTGGTGCATTAGTTCTTGCCAAAAGCAGATGTGATTGTGAGCTGGAAGCAATTTCTCCTGGTAATTTGTGATGACACTGGGTAGAGCAGCCCCAGAGTCCCCAAAGACAAACTCATCAGAGGCTCTAATGTATGCATGACACATGAGGTGGCTCTTTTAGAGCTCAATTAATTGGGCTGAACATTAAGACAGCAAGTTCAGGACTTTTTTTCCTCCAGAGTTGTTTTTCCTCTTTTTTTACAAGCAGTTTTTTTTTCTCTTACCTTCTGCAAGCCATGTCTCCTGTAATTGGCTCAGATCTTGAAAGAGTTCTGAAAAAGGATGAAGACACATTTAAAAGACTCACACCTTTAGTCTTTAAAAAGGTGAAAACGTTAGAAAAAGTGTATTTTCCCCCCAAAAATACATGAAAATTATACTCTGCAAATCCTACATACAGACAGAAAGGGGAAAAAACAGACATATCCTGGTCACAAATAAGGACTAGTTTACATCTTTTTTTTACTAAAGGAACCTAAACAAATATTTAATCAACTCTGGAACTAATAATCAGAATCCACAGATACCTGTGTCTAAATCTAACACGTTTCTCTCTCTTATCTTACGTTTATAGCAGAAAATGCTTATTTGGCAACCCAAAAGTGAAGTTCAGATGAAAATTTCTTGGATTCTAACATTCCAGTCCCCCTAGACCACCTCTAATTTTTTCACAGGCAAAACTCCCATAGAACTCAATAAGAGCTTTACCAGACCAAAGACTGTTTTTTGCCCCTACTTCCCCACTCTCTTATTTTAAAATAGCTATCCAGCACAAATAAATAAAGGGTAAAAATTAGCAAATAAAATGTAAAAAGGATAAAAAATTCAATGTTTTTGTTAGACGCACAACTTAACCTTTGATATGAATCTTTATGCACTAGTGATAATACTGTTTCAATATAGGTTGATTCCACTATACTGCACAATGCTATCAAGTGGCATCATCTCTTCCATGGACCAAAATCTGCAAGGACTTAGACGATTTGCAACCTCACTGAAATCAGCAAGGATTACACTGATGAGTGTAAGGCAGAGCAGAATTTGACCTCATTTCGGGGTAACTCATCTATGAAAATTTGCCCAGCAAAGCTACGACTTGCTATGATGTCTGCACTGATGAAGAATTCATTCTTAAGGCACTAAGTTTTTGGAAAGAAACTTCTTCTTAGCAGATATCTATTGTACACTTTTTTAAGTTACAGGCTCTTAGTCCATATGGTGGGATGCTGCTGCTGTTTTTTTACTTTGAGAAATCTTCTAACTAAAAACAAGCAAGTGATTTTGCTTTCGGTGGGTGCTACAAAGGGCCGCTCACAAATCCTGTAGGAATTTTAAACACACAAATGCAGGATCCTATTGTGATAGAAGATGCATAGAGACGAACAAACTCCTTTTTGACAAACCCATGCAGAAGCCAACTAGCCCTTGAAAATTAGGAGAATGTTATTACCAAAGCACTTAAAAGCTCCAGTTTGGATCAGCAGCTTGCTCAACTTAGTCCACAGGGCTACCGACATGAGTATCTCATCACTACTCATGTGAGTAAGGTTTAAAAAGTTGGGCCTATAAAGCCTAGTCAATTTTGGGCTTAAATCTCCCAGCGTAATTCTCGTCAGCACAATTTCACTGGTGTTATCAAGTACTAGTGTAGACAGGCTACCAGCAGCTACTGTATTCAGTCCTGCCCTAAGACAGAGATTCAAATACCAGCAGCTGATATATACCAACATTCGCACTCTAGCTACCACTCATGGAGTTGTGCCAGTAGCAGCTAAAGTGAATTAAAAAAAAAAATAATAAGGGGGAGGAGGGAGGGAGAGTTGGGGGGAGGGATTACTGTACACAAGTCCTGAAGGCAAAGCAGCCAGATGCATTTTATCCTTAACGTGTGTCCTTGTGTCAGGAGCTGCAAAACATTCTCACTCAAGTGCACGTCATTTATGTACCAGATGTGCAGCAATACCTGAAACGCAACAGGGTGAGTGAAGGAGGGAATATCAACTTTAGCAGCCAAGTGCCTTTGCCAGTTTGTTTCACAGCCCTAAATGCAATTTTCTTGTCTTATTTATACAAATTGATCTAGACAAATATATCTCCAAAATAAGTAAATAAAGAGCTCTCCTGAAGCTCCTATGCATTTCTAAGTAAAACAGGGGGGAAGGGGGGGGGAGGGGTCTCACCTTCTGAATCATGAGCCAGGTCTCTGTTAATGAATTTTCTTTTCCTGACATTTGTTGGTCTCTCATTACAGTTTCTCCCACGCGTATTCTATAAACAGGAAAGATCAGTTACTTAAAAAAACCCAAAACCCTCAGATTTCCAGATTTAAACCAAAATATTCAAAACCTACACAGAGTCCATACATTTTCCACAGAGAAAATTACTATCCCACAGCTTCTAGTCTTAAATTTTACATGCAGTTTATAGACCAGCATTCTCCTGAGTGCCTCATGCTCGGGGGATCCCAGTACCTAAATGCAACACATCTCCATGTGCAGATACACTGATACATATGGAAAATGCTCCAGCACCAGCACAGGGCTAAACATAGAATTTTAGCCTTGTTCTGAAACCTACACAACAGCATAAAAATCCCCTTTGCTTAAGCTATTCAGGAGATCTCAAACATAAGGAGATCACAATAGGCTGCTTTGTTTCCCCAATGTTATTTGTAAAATTGCTTGCAACAGCCTGAAAACAAACAAAAAAAAAAGTGTTAACATTGGTCTTAACTTCGTTCTCAGTGTTACAAGCAAGTACAGCCAGAAACTTTGAATGCAGCAGCTGCTGCTGCCCTCCTCTCCTACTCATCGTGTGCATGGTTTGTTTGATTTTTTTTTTAATCATCCAGACATTGTCTTGAAAAGAGCAGGATGCTTTATTGCAATAACTCAAAGATAAGCCTATCTTGCAGGCAAAACAAACCAGACACTACCGGCAAAACTCCCCCAGACATTTAAGTCCAAGTCAAGTTTATAAACACCAACTTTGGAGCTGATCACTCACATTGGTGACCATGTAAGGCACTTGCTGGTCATAAAATCCATCCATCCTGCAGCTCTTCCACAAGTCTTAGCTGACTCTTTTATTTTCTGGGCATTTGATCTGCAGCTTTCCTCAGGATCTGGACTGCAAGCAGCCTGGAGGGGAATACAAGATGGCTTTTAGATTTCAAAAAAAAAAAAAAAAATCATGAATGAACTGCTTAAATTTGCATACCTAATTAACCTCAAAGAGTCCCATTCATAAAAAAAAAAAAAAAAAACAACCCTCCCTTCCTTGCCTTCACCTGGGTTCCAAGGCAGTGCCAGGAAAACCCCGAGCAAAAGCACTTTGAACAGTAGCAGAAAGCAAAACAAGAGGCAAGGTATCTATTTACACCGCTCCTGTATCCCCAGAGCGATCTGTGTCAGTGGCAGCACTGATTCGCAAACGTGTGCAGAACTAGTAATGGCGAACAACATGACTCGCTTTGCACCTAACGGGAGTAGAGAGAGAGAGAGAGAGAGAGAGCGAGAGCGAGACGCGGAGCTACCTTGTTTCAAAGGATCATTTTTGCAACCCACGACCATGCAATTATCTGGAGCTACGGGGAAAAGTTGCTGGAAAGACCCACCTGAAGGTAACGCAAGGCGATCGGCTGCAAAAAATTCCCTCCAAATTTAATAAAAACATTAATTATTCCCCAGCACTTCCCCCTTGGAAGCAGAAAGCGCCACTGACAGAGCTCAAATCCGTGGTTTTTCCTCTACTTCTCCTCCAGGGGCCTCCAAGCCAAACTGATGGATCTCTGCCTCCCATTGGCTCTCTGTGTCTTTCACAGGATCAGATTTCTGCCTGTCAGTCAGGCTGCCTCTCTCCCTCTTTTCCTCAGGGAAAAAGGTAAAAGCTGGATCCTGCCGGATCCTGCTGGATCCATCCGATGTTTGGCCCCTGCCCCCTTCAATCTGTTGCACAAATGCAAATGCTTGTTTCAGGCTGACAAAAAATAGCCGGATTCCTATGTGTTCCACAACAAGGAGCATCACCGCAACCACCCCAAACCGAGATCCTCCAGGATCCAGTGCAAACCCCACTGCTTCCAAAGAGATCAAGTTTTGCTGCTTTGATTTTTGTAATGATGTGGCACAGCATTATATCCCTGACCAGTTGGATCCTATCAATTTTTGGCCCTTGCGCCCCCTTTCTCTTGCTTGGACAGTGAACATCTTGATCCATTTCTATTGCATAAAAGGGATGGAGACCAATATATTCAAGTCCAACAGCATCACAAAAGTGTGTCACAGCCAGCAAATTTGAACCCTACCAAATTTTGGCTGCATATCCCAAACCTGTACCATTAAATATAATATTTTGGTATCTGGATTATTTTAGCGAGCAAGGAAAAAATGCAAATATACAGGGTTTAGACAGTAAACCAGAAATAAATTGGATACAGCAAAATTGGAGTTGGGCAAATTAGAGTTTTTTAATCTTCCCAGAGCTGTTGAGATCCAGAATTTTTAATTGAGTAATAAAAAGCAAATGTTTCTGTTATGATGGTACAATTTCTGTGGTTTGTGGCCAAAATTTGGCTGGTTATAGACACTGATTCTGGGTTTTGTGGCACTGTTGTACCAGGATGCGTCAAGATTTGGGTGTCTGACATGTTTTAAGTGATCCTAAGACTTTTGCAGCAGAAATTGTAAGGTGAAGTGCAAAGGTCCAACAGCTTTTTTTTTCTTTTGTATAACAGTAGCATCTATACTAGGTTTTTATTTAGGCAGTGTCTCCACGATGGAAAAAACAAAGTGACAGAATAGAATATTTGTGACATTGATTTAAAAAGATGCATCACGGTTCCAACTTTTTAAGATTCAGTAGGTGTGGCTAAGTGAGTTCTGTCTTTGACTAAATGGAGCCAAAAATGGGAGAATCATCTAACTTAACCCTCCCCTTTTTCTCAGGATACTGCAGGCAGCAATTTAAAAAAAAAGAAAAACTTTGGGGGACCAACTCCCCTGACAGAGTCCTGGGTGTCCCACAAAATGACACTAACTCTGGTTCAGGTTAGCATAGCTGTCAAAAGGGATGTACAATTATTACATCTCAACTGGTGGAGTCGTAGTTCCACTTGTTGAAATGCTGCATGAACAAGCATTCAAAGGATTTAAAATTATTTTAAAAGGCCCATGCAGTAGAAATGTCCACTTCATCAGACCAGGTTGAAACCTAAGTTTGATTGAGGTTCAAGTGTTTGAATGAACACCTGTACACATTGCCAAAAGACTGAGGCCACTGTGGTGCTCTCTGGCATCCAGTGTGCCTTGCTCCCTCTCTTCCCCCCTCCAGGAAGATACTGTACTCTTTTTGGGCTGCAGTGCAGTCTGTTGTAGCAGCCCAAGTCATACAAACTCATCCCCCTGAAGGCTGAGGGGCTGGGAAAACCCAGCTCTTCTCCACAGCCTCCAGGGCTTTAAATGCTGCCATGCTGCAGAGCTGTGATTGCAGGGTCTCATACTGTAGATGGGCAGATTCCTCCCCCATGGCAATTGACAGCCACACACTTGCTAGCGTGGGGTTTAATATATGGTTGTGGGGGAGATATTCCCCCATGGTATATCAGAGCCCCATGCTTGCAGCTCCACACAAGCGTCTCTAAACGTGCATTAATTTGCTTTTGCTACTGCGCATTAAGTATAGTACCTCTAATATGAGGTACTCCATAAATGTTCATTAGACTTCCCTAATGTGCAGTAGCAAAAGTGCATGCCTTTTTAATGACACTTAATGCTCAGTAGCCTATTTCTACTGCGCTGTTTTTGACATGACAATTTATTGTGCAGAAGAACAGGCTGCGGCGAATTAAAGCATACATGTAGATGCGCTCACGGTAGTTTTTCACACCAATGTAGAGCTATGTGCCTGCGGCCCAATGTGCAGGGTGTGGTAGCAGAGCTCCATAGTTTAATGTGGGGGGAAAAGCTTTCCCTCACAAAGCTTGAGTGCCCTCAGCTCTGGCCATGGTGGTGAGGCTTCCCCATGGCCAGAACCCTAGCAGCATGGTAGAGAAAGCCCCCCATCACAGCCAGAGGCCCAGCTCACTATGGCCAGAGGCCCAACTAGACCTCAGCTCTAGCTGCTCATGGGTAAAGCCCCTGCACTGCACCTAGGACCCAGTTTCAAAAGGTGTCAGAGAAAGTTGTGAGGTGGTGGAAGTGGTTCCTTGGGACCACCAGCTAATTAGTCCTGACTGGTGGCTTGGCATGCTGTTACCTGTTTCTAGGTAGGCAGGAAAATCTACAAAGCATGCTGGGATGCATGCTCTGGACCACCCGCTCCCGGACTGGGTGCTGTCAGCAGTGCAGGGTATATGTGGAGCACACAGGCCACTTCGAACTAATTTCAAATGGCTTAAACTAAGCGGCTGAACTTCAACTGGTTGAACTGAATTCTTGTATACATCCTTAGTGTGGCGTCGCTATGCAACACAGCTAGTTAGCTGGGATGTGGTGTTCACGTATATGCCCTCAGCAGACACAACAGGACACTGATGGGTGCTGTGGGAATGTTCTGGAGGTGGGTAGGTGGGAGAGGATGGCTGATCCAAGACCATTGTTTCAAATTCAGGACCTAAGTCCCATATCAGGAACTTTTGGGGGGTGCTAGACCCAGCCCTGAAATTCAAGCCCATGCTATGAAATTAGGAACAGTTGGTTACTTCATCAAAAGTCCTGTGATCTTCCTGCATTGTGTATAAAAGCATGTGAAAAAGGGTTTGAACAAATTGTCTGGACCTATTTTAACAGTCTGCATCTTATTCCTTTCACGTTACTTTGTTTGGAAAGCTACAGTTGCTTCATCACTTTTGTATTAGGTTCAAGGAGTCTCGTCTCACCAGGAGTGGATCCAAAGGGCAAGAGCAGCAGCCAGGTCCTTAAAAAGTCCTGAATCCTCACCACCTGCCACTGCTATCACCCTGCTGTCTCCAGTTGCCCCTGGCACTGGGGTGGGGGAGCTCCAGAGCTGCTCCTGCTCTACTCCAGCCAGGCTTCTTAGTAAGCCAGACTCCCCTGTTTCTCCTTGCATGATCCTCCTGGTATTCCCCACCAGCTCAGGAGCAGGCACAGGGAGGGGGAACCTGATCCCCACCACAACTACTACTGTCCCTGTCTTCTCTAGCTCCCCATGCAGCCTGGCTGGAGTGAGGCAGGGGGAGCTCTGGAGCTCCCTCTGGCCCCCTGTGCAGCCAAAGACAGCAAGGACAGTGGCAGATGTGGGCAGAGAAGGGAGCAGGGAGAAAGAGAGGACGGGAGAGGGGTGATATGCTGCTGAGGATGGAAGGAATAGGACAGGGTACTGAGAGCAGGTGTAGGAGAGGGGGGAATAGATTCTAGCCTAATTCAGGGTTTTTTAAAAAGTTGCCAGCTGCTATTCTCACAGTGTGATCTGCCTGTCCTGTCTGGGGGGGAAGCTGGGAGGAGGGGTGCAGCCACCCATACCTACCCCTTACAAAATCGTGGATCACCCCCTGTGTCTAATGTTTCCCCACAACTCTCTCCCTCTTTCTTCTTCTCTGGCTTTTTCCCATCCTGTCTACTCACTTGCTTTCAAGTCACTTAGGAATAAAACTTCAAGTTTCAACTAATCTGGTTACATTTCTACATGCATTTGAAGGAAAACAATTTACCATCATCAGCTTGCCTTCTTGACTTTTTTTTCCTCTATGTATGTGTGTGTGTGTGTGTGTGTGTGTATGTATGCATACTATGTATTACACACACGCACACACAGGCACAAGGATGTTTCAGAAAGTAATGGCATTTTGAAATAAAGCATTTTGCGTGCAATGATCATTTACTGGACCACATCGCTTCTCTACATCGTTGTAAATGATGGGTGCATTTGACAATGCTGCCATCATCATGCCCGACTGCTGTGAAGTTTCCCAGCTGTTGAATACAAAATGGTTTTATTTCAAAATTGCTGTTACTTTCTGAAACACCCTTATATATATGTATGAATGCATATATGTATGAGTGAGTATATATAGATGCATGCCTAGGGTTATAGTACTTCGTGATATTTAAACATTATTAGAAGAGTTTTATAAACAAATGTTCATGTGTGCATGCCCAGTCCTTCTACCAGGATGCATGCCCACCCCTTTTAGCTATTCCAGCTCCCTTGAAGTAGAACTGGGCACTCAGTAATGTTCCAGGTTTAAGCAGAATTCACTGGTTGTTGTAAAAGCTACATAATAATTCCACCGTCATACTCTTCACCTACTTACATCAGGGCCAGAACAGTCATTGAATTAGGAGTGGGGAAGGATGTTATGGCCAGTGATGGGAGGGATGGCCAACATGCTGACAGTGTCCCGATACCTATGGTTGAGGGGTCTTGAGGTTATTTTAGCAAAACTTCATCAGATCTGAGAAGAGGTGAAGTACAAAGCTGGCCTAAAGCCACCTTTTACCTATTTCTACATTCCTCCACTGCACTGAGTGCAATTTCATTAAATATTGAGAGATAGATACTTGCAGGCAAAAAAAAACAATTTTCCTTTGGCAACTGAAACAAATGTCTTTATATGGAAATTCAAAAACAATCCTGTGAAAAAAATTATTAACTATCATTAAT